TTTTTTTTTTTTCATCAGCTCGTTTAGTGCATGGGCGATCACACGGGGAAGGACTAGTGCAAGTCTACGCTAATGGTACATGGGTCTGGGTGTGTGCTGATCAGTGGGACAAACAGGCTGCTGAAGTGGCTTGCAGGATGATGGGGTTTGATGGATCAACAGCATCATCTCTCGAGTACGAAAACGAAAAAAAAATGGAAGTCAGGTTGTGGCTTAACAACATAAAATGCACTGGAAAAGAATCTACTCTTCTCCTGTGCCACCACGGCATTTCGGTGGAATCACAAAACTGTAAAGGAAAAAGAAAAGCTGGTGTGAAATGCAAACCAAAAGGTAGGGAAATATCTGAAATTATAGCGTAGTATTGTCTTTATTCAGCTTTTACAGTTATTTCTAGATTAAAAAATTAATATTGTTAATTAATTATTGCTTTCCATTTTTCTGTAAACAACGGATCAATGCTTGAAAATAGTGAATATGAATTAAATCACTCTGAATTGAAGATGTGACATGGTACATCAAAAATAATAATATAGTATGAAATGATAATAACAATTTATTCAAATATTTCCTGATATTTTTTTGAGTAACCTTGCCGTCGCCCCTCTGTTTCCTTAGACAAAAAAAATGCTCGATTGAAGTTCAACATCTGACGTTACCATGATTGTTTTGTTTTTGAGTCAAAACGTGCTCCCTCGATCAAATGTATTTCTAGCAGGGGAGGCTAACTTTGTGCAAGCTATGTGTAGGTCCCTAGAAAGGTCACCTCAGGACACCCGGATGGATTTAATTTGTACAGCCGCCCACGCCTCATCTCCTTGGCCCGGCCACTTGGGCGCAACGACTTTCAGCCTTTTTAGTTTATATCCGTCGAGTTTGTCAAAGTCTGCTGGATTTATTTCTTTAGCTGGGGAAGCTTTATCTTTTCTATATCTAATGCTACCCTATTTCTACGATCCGAGCATGTTTATTTACCGTTTTATTCGAATTTCGTGGAAAAAGGTGTGTTGGAAAGGGAGCATGGCGGCCGAGATGTCATCTCGTGCCTTCTACCTTGTGTATTATATTGTATGGAGGGTGATTAAACAAATTATCACAACAATTCGCTTGAGCATCAAGGACACCAACAATTGACTGTAGACCAAGTTTCACTTTGTCCTTTATTTAGTATTTTCTACAAATTTTAGGATCGTATTTTTACCCTATACAAACACTGTAATTTTACTCTAGAACCACACTGTGGTTCCATCACATAGCCTGGGTTGCCTGTGCCTGCTACTCACTTTCTAACACGCATAGATCATTAGTGTCTTTGACCATTCAGATTGTAGAATTCGCGATAGTATGCCAGTAAAATTCTACTAAAAGAAAACAAATCATGAAAAGATTCTATCAAAAATGGTAAAACATGTATATTTTGATCAATATTCAATTTTGTTTTTCGATCCCAAACTAGAAATTTAGAAATTAGAACTCTCAAAAGATTTTGTTTGTACGGCAGCCCATTTGGTTGTTGATAACAGTATTGAACCTCATGGCAGTAAGGGCCGAGTCGAGGTGTTTTACAATGGAACCTGGGGACCAGTGTGTGGTGATTACCACTGGGATTTCACGGATGCCAACATAGTCTGCCGTCAGCTTGGATTTCCAGGGGCTCTGGTGACAGCCAGAACCTCACAAAGCAGAAGACGTGCTTCGGGCCAAAGAGAAATGTGGTTTCGAAGTCCAAGATGTGAAGGAAATGAGATGGACTTAACAAATTGTTATCACAACGGGTGGTCAAGCTACTGTTATGACAGAAAGGAAGCGTATGTGAAATGCATTACAGGTGACGAATCTTTTTTTTGTTTTGACGTGAAATTAGACGTATTAAGAAACAATAGGAGCAACACAATATGTTGTCACTAGATGTATCTTGTCAAGAGACCATGATCTTTTGCGATCGTTCAATAACTAGACAACAGTTTATTAACCACACCTCACACACAGCAGTAGTTCACTATGACCACGTGCACTTGACCGTTGACCAAAACGGCAAGGGGAAACAGATAGAAGTACATAAAGTTTTTGTAATATAAAGTTGTATTAACTGGTAAGTACTCAATTACATAGCAATCTGACATAAGTACTAAACTGAGAGAAACAGCTATATGGTACACTTATTTAGTTCTAGTGAGCTCACTCAGTTATGTCACAGGAACATAGACTGGTGGCAATTTTATAAATTAAAAAGTCTACTTAGAAGGTATGTCATTCTCAGCAGGGGCACAGTGAGCAGACCTGGAAGAGGCGCTCTATTTATTTATTTATTTATTTATTTATTTATCACAGTCTATGGTCAAAGGCCAAAGGATAATCTCTAAAGTAGTCATAAAACCCACATAAAAACAGATCACCTATAAAAGGGAAAGTACGTAAACTCGGTATAAAACATAGGTTTGAAAGTAAACAACGCGCGCACTGACAAAACAGAAAAATATGACATATTTTAACAGTTCAGAAAAAAAAAGTTTCTTAGAGTCGCTTACAGCACGTTTCAAACTTTTAGACGTGGTGTTTACTGGAGTCAGGGGTTGTCACTTAAAGGCAGCTGTCGCAAAATTGAAGTTGGACGGTATAATAGCTAGAGAAGAGGTTTAAAATTCGCATAGTTATCTGAAACCTATGCTGTTTGCTGCTGACCTTGAGCTTCATATATAATGCCTTTTCTTTATCGTCTTTATTCTAACTTTTAGCTCGTTTAGTCGGAGGACAGACACCCAGTGAAGGACTAGTGCAAGTTTACCATAACAATACTTGGGGCTGGGTGTGCGCAGATCATTGGAACAAACGAAATGCTGATGTGGCTTGCAGAATGATGGACTTTAATGGATCATTATCACTAAATTTTAGTCATAAAGATGTTAAGACAAATTTCAAGGTCTGGCTCAACAAAATGAATTGTTTTGGAAATGAAAGTTCTCTGTTTGAATGTCGTCACGACGGTCTAGGATCACACAACTGTGAGCCGGGATTGAGGAAAGCTGGTGTAATTTGCAGATCAAAAGGTAAAATAGGGAAATACAATTCCGCGTTTATCTGACTCTAGTACACTGTAAAGAGTTCGTTCATAGTATCTTCTCTCAAAGCGTAAGTTTCAAAAGGAATACTTGCATTGCACTGTGAACGATCGTGACCGGGATTGAAAAGACGCTCTAAATACTAGCAAGAGGTACAAAAACAAAAGCTAGACTACTATACCGCAGTTAAACACTCTTTGAAAGTTTGAAGTTTGAAGTTTGAAAACTATAATTCAGGGGATCACCTCATTTGAAACGGATTGTTTTGATCAGTCGTCATGAAACTTGACAAACAGTTTTAGCTCAGTAGCCTTAAGAATATGTGACATAATTTTTAGTCACGTGACCTACAAATGATCGTTAATGGTCAAAGCGGGGGAATGGAAATGAAAGAGCAGCAAACATTCTTAGGCACCAGTGTTTTTCCCATGTCTTGGATGTTATGAAATAGCCTTGCGTGTATACCTAAGTGGAGCAATGATTACGCCATAAAGATAAACAGGTCAAGTGACTTATAAAAGACTATAATAAGTCTTAATAAAAATGCTTTAATCCACGCTGCAAGGCTAATTGACAATCCAGGCAGCTTGGCTGATAATTTGATGACAAGTATTTTTAGCCTGAAGTTTAACAGCCTTACCCCGTTTGAGAAAACATGTTTTGTGACGTCATGGTCCAAGGAATGTCACGTGATACTTGGGACGACTTTTCCAAAACTATTTTAATGAGATATTTGTTATCATATCTTTGTGGAACCCTGTATATGGATCTTTCTGCGTCATTAAAAAGATCTTTGCATTCTCTGTGGGGGGAGGGGGGGGGGGGGGGGTGTTTTATCTCTCCACATCTGCGCTCTGTACCTATCGTAGTGTGATGATAGATGTGTATGGTTGTTTGCAAATTATTTCTTGCAGTTTTTTTTGTACATTAGTTTTTGGAGCCTTGGTATTGGCATCTTCGTGTCCCATAAAAATGTTTTTTCTCTTCGGGGTGGCGGGGGGGGGGGGGGGGGGGGGGTCTTTTTGGCCTTTCAACCCATGCGTTAACTCTGACTTTCGAACCATACAAGGCAACATAGTTCCTGGCCCCAGTTTTCTGCTCCTAGAAACAGAACTGTTTAAACTAAACCCTATATGTTCAGATAAGTCTTCTTTACACGGCAGTTCGATTGGTTGGTGGACGTAATGTGTCATCGCAAGGCCGCGTGGAACTGTTCTATAATGGAACATGGGGAACAGTGTGTGGCTACAACTGGAAATTAAGGGATGCCAATGTAGTTTGCCATCAACTTGGCTTTGAAGGAGCTCAGTCTGCATTGATCAAGACACAGACAGTTTTTGGGCGGGGAAAAGGAAACATTTGGTACTTTCAATTACGGTGCATAGGGAATGAAAGCTCATTAACGGACTGTGGACAAGGCGTATGGTATTCCAGCTCTTGTAGCTATCACTCTGATGACGCTGGTGTGGTATGCAGAACAGGTACTAAAAGTTATAAAACAGTGAATCTCTTTATTTTGTTTTGCCAAAAATTTTATCATGTGCAAAAAGTACCTATCGCAAGACAAGCAAGCAAGCAAAAATAAACACTCGCTTGTTTCTATTCTATCCATCAGCTCGTTTGGTGGAAGGACGGCAATCCCCCCGAGAAGGACTGGTACAAGTTTATTACAACAAGACTTGGGGCTGGGTTTGTGCTGATCAGTGGGACAAAAAAGATGCTGACGTGGCTTGCAGAATGATGGACTTCAACGGATCACTGTCAGCGTTTTATGACAGCGAAAAAATTATGCAGATAAAACCTGCTGTGTGGCTTAATAACATGCAGTGTACTGGAAAAGAAAGTTCTCTCTTTTTCTGCAAGCATGGCGGTTTGGGATCTCATGATTGCAAGGCAAAGGCTGGTGTAATATGTCGACCGAAAGGTAAAACTAAAACCCAAGAAACTAAAAGTAAAAGAAAATAAGGGAAAGGTAAAAGAAAAAGTGGCAAATATCTCTTTGAACTTTTCATATTACATGTATTTGGTTTGGTAATTGCAGTAAGTTTAGTCATGAAGTACTTTCCTTCCTCATAATCATCTTCCGAACGATCATTTACTCGGATGACTCGAATTCCCCGCTAACTCGAACTGTTTTTCCTTTCCCTTCAGAGTTCGTCAGGGGTTCTACTGCAAATATGTAGTACTAGTAATAAACCAAATAATTAAGATATATAGTTGAGGTAAACAAATGGCATGACTAATTTGTTTCTTAATGTGATTGTGTGGCAGATGTTTATGAACTTTTAAGGAACCTTTACGGGTAAACTAAATTCCCTCCACAATTATATAAAACTAATTATATAGTACTTGATCACGTAATTACTCTAAGATGTGGCTTCATGTATATAACTCTACTCTAGATTTTACAGTTCATTTTTTACTAAATGTACTTCACCCCGTTGCTCTCATGCAAGTTCATTATTATACCCTGTCGACCAACTAAGAAGAATTTTGTTGTTTTTTGTTTACTCTTGAGTACATGTAAAGGTCGATGTATTTCAACCGGCACACTTAATAATACAGCCTATTAAACTTTCTCTCAATGTACAGTTCGATTGGTTGGTTGGGGTAACGATTCTTCTCAAGGCCGAGTGGAAGTGTACGTCAATGGAACCTGGGGAGGAGTGTGTAGATACGGTAACTACTGGGATTTAAAGGGCGCCAACGTAGTTTGTCGTCAACTTGGGTTCAAGGGAGCTGTCGCAGCAACTACATCCTCGGATTTCCGGCAAAAAAAATTGATATTTAACCTACAGTGCAAGGGAAACGAGATGTCATTGACAAAGTGTGAACATGTGGTAGCTCCCAAAGGCGGCAAATACTGTTTATACGACGCGGCCGCATGTGTAGTGTGCATTACAGGTACTACCAAATGCAATAATTATTATGGTGCAGCCCTGAACGGGGTCAAAATAGCTATTACCTGTATTCAGTTTTAGCAGGAGATTGAAACAAAATTAAACGGAAAAGATTGTGAAAAATTACAGTTGAGGCCTGATTTAGATTTGTAAAGATCATTGGCGTTGTATTTAAGCAATAGAAAACGTTTCCCGTGTTTGCATAGCCTTATACACGAGAAGGGTTGGGAGAATTCGAGACAGTTTTGCAAACCCGAGACAAATCCGAGGGTTTGCATAAATGTCGAGAACAAAGATTGGCTAATAACAAAATTTGACTGAGTTTTTTTAAAATTAGTTGTTTACCTTCGGAGTTAGACTGTTTTGTATTGTATACAAAAGTCGAGTATAACATACCATTACCACGGAAGCACTGTGCTTACTCCGAAATCCATATTGTATAAAGTCATAAATTTATATTATATATTTGATAAAAAAAAAATTGGGATTAAAGTCTTTTTCATAAATTTTTCAAATATGCTATAAGTATAAATTGATACCATGAAATCAAGATATATTGGCGGCCTAATAGTCCTCAGGGAGAGGGTTCTTCCTTTATCAAGAGTATAAGAAAAATAAAATTAAGGGGAAATCAGTGCAAGTAGTTATGGGTAGTGTCTCTGGTTGGATTAGATTTGCTTGTTTCAAAAATTTAATGGTAAGGGATTTAAGTCCATAGGCTTTATAAGATAACTTTATCCGGGGTTTCAGTTAGGAGTTTTGTGTATGCGTAAAAACTAATATTGTTTAAAAGTAACGAAAAGGGAAGTAAAATGACAGTTTTAAAACTTGCTTTCAGAAAAAGGTCAGTACACAAATTCATCAGACGAAAAAACAGCGGGGTCGAAAGGTATGTCTGATCACAATAATTATAATTTATTACATTTAATATAGCGCTTTAACTCATAATTTGTAAACAAATTTTAATTTGAAAGAAATAATAAGGGCTAAAAATTAAAGACCGTTATCAGCTAGCAAAAATTAGCTGAAAATGTGCGATTGTGACTATTAATGTTACCAGAAGTTGAGCTGGGAATGCCACATACAGAGTATTTGTAAAAAGATTGCTTCTGCTTTGGGTGCAATTAAAAGAATATGACATCTTATTCCTTTTAATGTATTAATTAATGTTAAAGACAGTTTAATTCAACCGCATTTTGATTACTGTAATGTCGTATGGAGCAACTGCGGCATTGGTCTTTCCGATAAGCTGCAGAGGCTCCAAAATCGTGCAGCCCGTATTCTAATGTACGCTAATTCTGATTGTAATGTGGACGATTTGTTCCTGGCAATGGGATGGCGTAAGCTTAAACACCAAAGACAAGCATCGACGGCTATTATGATGTATAAAACCGTACATGGGATGACTCCCGACTATCTAACATCTAAATTTGTATCTCGTGACGAAATAACTTCTTATCGATTGAGGAATACTGAAAATAAATTAGTCCTTCCACTGCCCCGTACCAATTATTTAAAGAAAAGTTTCTCCTATAGCGGAGCTAAGCTGTGGAACAGCCTATCCCATGATTTAAGATCTGCAGATTCTTTACATGATTTTAAACGCAAACTGTGTCGCAACAGTTTTGAATGAGATCATACATTAATACAGTTTTACACGGCATCCTTGAAAAGCAGCTTTTATTTGTAAATAGCTAGGTAGTTAAAATTTTATGAATATATTTTTAATCAGAGTTAGTTTAGTTAGGTATAATAGATCTTAGATTTTTTGTACATGCTGAAGGAATTTTAACCGTGTTTAAATAAAGTTATCTATCTATCTATCTATCTATCTATCTATCTATCTATCTATCTATCTATCTATCTATCTATCTATCTATCTATCTATCTATCTATCTATCTATCTAGAAGTGCTTGATTATATCGGGTGTGGTATTAATTAGTGCTAGACTTTTTCTCCAGTCTATGTGATCACCTAGTACTAATCATGATGGAATTAGACAATCACAGGTTAAAAAAGACAGTATTTTTTAGTGTCTAATGGTTATAATTGGTTAACAATTAGGTCTCTGGCACAAGGTTAGTTACACCCCTGTGTGCTTTGGAACAAAAGATGATCAGTTTGGAAGGTTCTTTGTTCCATCAAGTGGCAATTTGGCTGCCCTGAAGTTGGTACACCTGTACGGTTACGTGTCCTGTGACCCGAAATCAAATACTCGCTGGTCTTACTGGGGCTGTGCTGGACCGGAAGTAAACGTGGTGGTAACCAATTCGACCAACCACGTCCTTCTCCCGGCAGACGAGTTTAGCTCTAATTCTGTTACAAAGTGGTTTAATATTCCTGGATATAATTCACTCTCACCTGAGATTGTCCTGTCAGTTCTGTCCCGTCCTCGCTGGATGACCTCCGGCGAAGAACTACGCCTGTGGAACGGGGAGGATTTGGTGAATCGAAGTGAAAGCGACAACGGAGGAAGGGTGTGTTGTGATGTGCATGCTCTTTTCGTTGAAACGCGAGTGTTTACTTCGATGGAAGGTTTTAAGTAAACAAATAATACAATAACGAGTAATTTGAAGGCAAAGTCAGTATGTAATTATTTTGATTGTTAAATGAATTAAATGACACTTAGGGTGCAAAAAGGTAAAATAAAAAAAATAGCACTTAAACATATTTCACTTGAAGTTGGCTTTATCAAATTATAACATAAACTAATGCCTCAGTCAATTCCAAGTGTCCCTATCCTTCTAATTCACCGATATCAAAGTTGTGAGTCCCAGAAGTTTATTATAATTACTATTATTATCATATAGTGAACAAACGATGGAGAAATTCACACTTTTTATAAACCACTTATTAGTTACCACTCCGACCTAGTTTAAAATAAACTTAATAGAGCCGATAAATAGACGGGCAACGAAATTTTGCGGTAAGCAGACGGTTACGCACCTCACTTGAATCTGGCTATGTAATACTCGCTGTCGATGGACGGGCACGCTTAATTTGACTGAGCTTAGTTAATGAAAGTAAATACTTCGCTGTCATAAATGCAAATAAAAGCTTGTGATAATAGAATAACAGAACACAGAATCTGGTGTTTTTATTCCGCCCTTTACCGTCCTTTGTAAAAACCGAGGTCTGAGGAAAGTTGTAGCGTATTCCTGAATGCTGTACCCACCTTTCTGCTAATTTCACCGTAGTTACTAGACCCTTTAGTTACTAGATCAAGGTGTTTTTATGGCCATAAAAGCCGAAAAATCTATAGCCTGGGACCAAGGGAAGCAAAAAACGCGGTGAAATAGGAAATATATCTGCGAGCGGGGTCTTTCCCTCCCCAGACTCACGGTTTTCAAATTGAAAAAAAGTAGCAGGAGGAAATTGCAAAGTAGCCGGAGCACTATCGGCAGCCTTGTGGAGTGGGGGGAGCAACCCCGCCCCTTCTGCAGAGAGGAATGGGGAGCTTCCCCTGGAAAATTTATTACAAAAAAAAGTTAAAATTTTACAATACAATATATTAATACAAAAAAAGGTAACGTTTACTCATTTAGAGAGAACATTTATGTAGTTTTGACCCCCAAAATGCATTTTCCTGCAGTTCCAGCTCAAGATCGTTTTTGTTTTCTTAATGAAAGAGAGCTGCAAATGAATCAACGGAATAACGAAATATTGCCATAAAGTGGCTTCCGTTGCTATATTTCCTTTTACATACATGAAATATTAGGGAACTTAAGAACCACGACGAAGTTCACGACGACGACGTCTGTTGACTGGGAAAGGACTGGAACGAGAACGTCAGTTTCGGCGGGAAAAAGGAAACTTAAGATGCAGTCGATCGGTAGGTCGACGACGACGACACTGAATGTAAACAAACATGTAGAAGTAGTACAACTGTGATGTTCGTTCGCAACAACGTTTTTTCGCAAAGGCGTCTTTTAAGACGATGCAAGATCTTATTTTATAAGCCGTACGTCTACTTTCATTGACGATGAAGAATTTTTAGTGTTGTCTGACCTTTCGAATGGAAAAATCTCTGCTTTCCGTACGAAGGTTATTCAACGTTCAACCTGAATTACATGACCGAGTCCGATTGTCTGTCAGAGTTTAGATTTGGAAAAAGAGACATTCCGATGCGATAGCTGTTTTCTATATAAAGTTCATTTCCTCTATATTAAAGATATATGATTTGCCTGACCTAAATACGTACAAATAAATTTGTCACTTACGAGTTCGCTCGCTCGGCCTGCACAGCTCAGTGTTGTCTTCGAAGTAAACACAATTCATCAGTCAAATTTTTCAACATCGCTTGTTAGCAGAAAAAAGAAAGGATACCTGGATTTACGAGGTGAAAAAATACAAAGCCCTTGAAAAATCGCTTAAAAACAGAGAGCTATACCTGCCGAAGCTTGTGGACTGCAGGACGACGTGACTGTACTGTATTTGGCGTCGTCGACGACACCACGACGACGAAATTTGTTAACCGCGCTTGCGCAGTGCACGGTATCTCACTTCCGGTCGTCGTCGACAAAGCCGTCGTCGTGGTTCTTAAGTTCCCTATTATCACAACAAAGTCAGCGGTCTCGTTTCGTTTCTACTTCGATTCGCTGCAATTCGCAGTTTTTCTCAACACTTGCGCTGTTGAAGGCTTTTTTTGTTAAAACTTCCTTCAGTCTTTTTTTGAAAATACATTTGGTGCAGTCAAGACCATAATGAGTAACATTTCACGAGAAAGACTGCCTTCGCATTCACCACGTGGATGCCGCTACAGCTACGGATACTGGTCATTTCAGCCTCAGCATATTGTTTTATTTTTTTTACACTTATTCCTAAAATTATTGTTACCTGTTTCTCTTCGAGACTTCTCCGCAGTTGACAGAAAAGACAACATCGTTTGCTGCCTCCGCTTCATGTTGCAACTTTCGAGTGAGAACAAATCTGCTGCCGCGCCGATACATGCACGTTCAAATGAGAGTCCGTGCACACGAGCAGACTTTCCCGCCAAAAAAAGCTCTCGCTTCGAAGATCAGAAGGTACATGTAATTATAGCCACACTGTTTATTAATTATTTTCAGTAGTTGGCGTTTATTTATTTCCTCAAAAAGATCAGATCACGATTAGTTTGGTGAAACAGAATTGTGTAGATTTGGAATACAAAAAGTACCCGGCGCAAATGCTTGAAGTAGTCGGTGACTTGCGCCGGGCGCCGGCTAAATTTGAAAACCCTGCAGACTACCTCTCAGCTCGCTTCGTTCGCCCATTTTTTTTCGCACACGCCGATTTCCCCTTTTTCTCCCAATGCGGAGCCTGGTCCCAGGCTAGAAAATCTATAAGGTTACAGCTCCCTGACCGTGCACGTTCTTCCGTTCTTCCTTTACAAACTGTAAATGGATTATTTAACGAAGGTTTTGCAATTCGCCATTTAGTCCAGCATGATTGGAGGGCTATCGTTTGAAGTACACGTTCATGATCCAAAAAAATTCAAGCAAACAACGACATAAGCAAAGAAGTCTGTCGGGCCTCCTGACTATCGCACTCAGTTATAAAATATCTCAGAAGAAGTCATTTATAAGAAAGTGGTTTAAACGGTTACGCAACATATTAACCACGGAGAGATATAAAACTTTTTAAGCTTTCTGGCTTGCTGTCCTTGCTGTGGTCCGCTTGACGGTTGACGGCTCAAGTGAGTTATCAACCGGTGCTGAAGCTAAAATGCTGCTAAATACGCTGAAGTTCAGTTATTTCTTCTAAGCAATATAGCGCATTTTCCCGAATAAGCGCCCAAATTGTAATAGCGCCCTTCCCCAAATTAGTTCCGACGCCCAAGGCCAATCAAATAAGCGTCCCCCTCCCCTCCCCCAACTTTTCTAAATAGTAGGGATGCAAGGAAAACCTGAAATCTAAAGTGCATGGACTACGGAAGGTTTGTTTATCAAGTATTGTTTCAACAAAAGAAAGACATTAATATTGACTTTACATTTACCAAAACAACTTAGCTCTGGCTAACGCAACCTTGACCAAACCCGCAAGTTTGTATTTCGGATTCACGCATCTGGCGTTGTAAACAACAAAACGAATCCGGAACCGAAACTCGTCCGAATTCTTCGCGAATCCGGAAAAATGCAGCGCTAGAAGTGTAAACAGCATTAGCCTTATTCTATGATAAGCTATTATTACGTGCATCAGGAAAAACGCTTAAAGGTTTACCAAATCAAGGGGGACTTTGGGCGGGGGTGGGAAGCCTCCGAAAATGAATCCCAGGGGCGTATGTAGCCAGGATTTTTTCAGAGTCTGAGGGGGTCAATGGGGTGGTAGCTGTGACGGTTGACGGTTAATTATTTTCAATTTTGACGGTTGACGGTTAAATTATAGAGCTTCTGACAGTTGATGGTTCTTTTGTTGAAACTTAGTGCAAGTTTAACTAAAAATTTCTCCATAAAATTAGTGACAAAAGTTTATGTCTCGGGGGCTTTCTTGAGCCTTTCGCTTTTAAAATTTCGAATATTTTTAGATGTAAGCGAGTTGTAAACTCAGTGTCCGCCTGTTCATCTCATGGCTATATGGTCTAAGTGTTTTACCCTTAGAAATTAAAAAGGTCTTTCACGCGGACTTTATACGGATACTGTTACTGCTTGTGCAAATTATCGAGTTTTAAGGGAATAAGTTATATGAATGGCCTTGAACACTTAAGTGGTCTGAAACGGCGGCGGGCTGGTTCAGGTGATGGTGATTTAAGGCTTTTTCGATACCCCGACTGTGCTCTCCAAATTCGGTACAACATGATTCATATGGCCATGTCGATCAACCTAGCAACGAACTATAATACTAAATCCTCGGAAGCTCAAGATGCAAATAAACTTTTAACATCTTGTAAGGATCGAGAATGAAGATCGTCGCGTGAGCTCTGTAAACTTTACAGGTCAACGCGCCTGCGTGGAATAGGCCATTTTCAGGTGGTCCTGAACCTCTGTTTCAAAGCGAGGCTAAGTGCAAAGCCACTGATATGTTAAATGATTTTTATTCCAACTGGTGCAAAAGAAACTTATTATCACAAGAAAGGTTTTGCATCTTGAGCCTCGTTTTGAAAGTGAGAGTTTTTGGAACTCGCAAATGGCCTACTCTAAGCGGAGGACAGATAACCCCGCAGGGACAATGAGGTCATGCACGTTGGCATCATTGCATTTGGAGAGTTAAGCCCCGTCCACACGTATCCGGAGATTTTTGTATCCGCAAATTTTTTTATGCGGATACAAAAATATCTACGTCCACACGTAGCGTATACGAATCGTATACGACCGTCCACACGTATCCGATTCGTATCCGGACTTATTATATGGAGGAGAGTGTTTTA